ACCAAAATGATACCATTATTTAAAACCATTTTCTGGTAGAACACTGACAAAACCCCTACCTCACATTGTTCAGTCCCTAAAATCAACTCAGCTTTGAGTATTCCTTTCTCCTTGTCTCCAAAAAATTGTTGTCTCTATGCTCAGCAGACCTTTTGCAATGGATTTAATGTTACTTTCCTTCCATCTGCCTCTACAATTCAAGATGATAACAAACAAGGTATCTGCTTTTGTATATTCAGAGGCTCCATGGTAGAAAAATGTCCACATTATGAAACTCTGGGGTCCTAAAAAGTTCAAGGTCAAGTGGTCATGATTCTAGAAAGATTTTGCCTTGAGTGAAAACCATTTGAGTGTTTTTTTGACACTGAAGCCACCGGAAAGAAGCAGGATTAGTAAAGTTATTGTGTTAACCAAAGAAGTGGCAAGAAGATTTACCAAACTAAACATCATTGTGGTACAGTACTATACACTATGAGGCTGTAAAAGTCTATGCATTTTTCCATATAAACCAGTGCCACTAACCAAGAGAAGAAAAAGAACCCATTTTAAATAAGAAGCAAGTTCTTCAAATATTCTTTAAATTTTGTTAAGTTTCATACAGGAAATCCAAGTACTTGGCACATTTCAAAGCAGTAAAAATGGTAACAGTTCCTTGTGAGAAGACAGAATTCACTGTGGAAATGCCTTGGGGAATTAATTTTTTTTTGGACTGCATCTTCCTAGTTCAGAAAAAAGATTTGGAGTTAAAGAGAATCAGATTTTAGTGAAACAAAACAATGCATCTTTCTCATCTGATAGATGTGATGCAGTCTATGCTGCTTAGACAGACTGAAGGCATGGAGAAAGACAAACTGATTGAAACTCCACTATGCTCACAGCCAAGATTTCTAGTCATTCAGAAACAGCAAGGTATCTAATGCTTTTATAGCTTAATCTTCTCTGTATTCTCAGATCACATAAGCAATAAGATCCCCTGAAGTATTTTTTCTCCGGGCTGAATATGCCCTCAGTCTCTCTTCACGTCATGTGCTCTTGGTGCCCTCCCCTGGGTTCACTCCTGTATGTCAATATTGTGCTGAGCGCACAAAACTGGAGATGGCAGTCCAGATGTGGTCCTACAAGTGCTGAGTAAAAGGGAAGGGTCACTTTCCAGTACCTGCTGTGAAGACCCTTACTACTGCTGTCCAGGGCGTGTTGTGCACCATGACCCCAGAGTCTTTTCTGCGGAGCTGCTTCCAAACAGCTGGCACCAAGCCTGCCTTGTGGCTGGGATTACTACAAGCCAGGGCAAAGAGCTTTTGTTCTTCCTGAGTTTCATAAGATTTATGTAAGCCTTCATAAGGTTTATGTAAGCCATTTCTCCAGCCTGTCCAGGTCCCTCTGCCAGCAGCCCTTCCTTTCCAACTTGGAGCACCCCTGCCTGGTGTCACTTGCAAACCAGCTGAGAGTAACCCCCACCTCATCATGCAGATTGTCAATGAAGACATTGAATGATATTGGTCCCAGCATGGAACTGAGGGATCCACTACCTCCTGGCTGCAAGCTTGTCTTCACAGCCTTGGTTTTTAAGTCCAGCCTATTTTCTGCCCACTTTATAGTGTCTTTATCCATCCTGTGCCCCACCAGTTCTGGCGACTATGGAGGAAGCTACAGAGGGTGTCAAAGACCACTACAATCAAGGTACGTAAGAACCACTGCCTTTCTTTTGCCTTATTGTGGCAAATATGATTTGCATATGGGAAATGTTTTTTTTTTCCTACTCCCATTCATCTTGCTGTCCTTCATGTGCTTACATGTGATTTGCTCCAACAGTGTTCTCAGGGACTGAGGTGAGGCTGACTGGAGTACAGTTATCTGGATCCTCCTTCTTGTCATTCTTTACAATCAAGCTCCACTAACTTTTGTAGGAAACCCAAGTGTTTTAAGTGATGCCTTACCATGCCTTCCTTTGCCAGGGATACTTCATCATGTTCAAGGGCTCAGGGACCTGGAAGGCCTGAGGACAAGCCTTACAAGTGAAAACCACAGTATGAAAGGTACCTTAGCCTTTCTCATGACCCTTATCACTATGTCAACTGTTCCAGCAAGCAATAGGGCCACACTTACTTAGCTTTTATTTTACTCCTGATGTACTTTAAGAAACCTTTTATATCTTGCATTTCCCTGAGCTGGAGCTTGCTGAACTCCATTCCTATGTAAATAGACAATGCCTCTGTATCCCTCCCAAGTAGTCAGTTTCTGTTTCATTGTAGGTTTTTTTTTTGTGTGTGTGTTTGAGTGAGTCATACTCGTCTTCTGAGTATGGGGAGAACAGTTCTTGTGCTCAGAGGATGCTGTCCTCGCAGATTGGATACCTCTCCTGGGCTCCTTTGCCCTTCAAGGATCCACAGGAGCCTGCCAAGCATGTCCCTGAACAAACATCTCCTCTCATCACACTATTGATCATCTGTATCAAGAAATTGTCTTCAATGTGTTTCAGAAATCTGGATTGCTTGTGTTCAGCCTTATTGGTCTTCCAGCAGTTACTCCTGAGGTTAAAGTCACCCAAGAATACCAATGCCTGGGACTATAAGGCTTTTTCCACCTGCCCCGAGATTGCTTCATCTTCCTTCTCTTGTTGATGAGGTCTAGAGCAGACACCTACTACATCACTTATCTCGGTCTGAACTTTGTTCTCTGTGTGCAAGTTCTCCACTTGTTTGCCACTTCACTCAGGGTTCTGTCCACTCAAAACACACCATTGTATAGAGCTTAAAGGGAGAGCAGCTCATACTGGCACCCTGCTAGCACCTTGTGGTACTACACACGCCTTGTATTTACAACTGGGTTCAAGGTTAAGAAGAAAGGGTGAGTGGGCCAGACATGCTGAACTTCCTTAGGTTTGTGTGAGTTTATGGGCCCCAAGTTGGGTAACTCTCTAGGGGCACCCCTGGTAGGGGAGACTCTCCCAGAGCAGTTCTGTGTCAGGAACGAGAGACGCATTGGACTTTTTTGGTCTTCAGCTTCTGTTAATTGTAATATTATCAAGACCTTCCATGCATGAAAACAGCACAAAAATGGCTAACAAACTCATGCTACAAGGTCTTTTTAAGTCTAATCAAAAACTAAACTACCTAACTAAGAAGTGACACTTAAATTATTTTTAAAATTATTTAAAAATTATTATTTTAAATTATTATTTTAAAATTATTTTTAAAATTATTATTTCATCAGAACACCCCAGGCCAGACAGGGGGATATTCCCCTTGCTCTGGGTTCCCACAGGTTTGTCCCTTCTTTGGTGAAAGAATTCTGAAGTTATGATTTGCTGTCACTCTTTTCAAATATACCTGAAGCACAGTAATTCTAGGGAAGCAACAAGATCTCACTAGGAAAGAAGAGGATTTTATGCAAAGGCATGTGAAAAAGTTTCTACAGAACTGACTTCAGTGCTATTGGAATATAATTAAAATGTTTTCATTCAATTATTAATCATAATATAGAGTCACTATCAACTCTACATATTAGAATTCAAAATGTGGACTACTTATCTAATGATATCTTAAGCCAGTTGTAGACAGACACAGATTTTCTATGTGTTTCTTTAAACTTAAATTAATCAACACAAAACCCTGTCAATCTATTTTTTATGATGGAATGTACATATGACTGTTTGCAATATTTGATCTCAAAGCTACATAATTAATGACCTCGTACACATTTAAATTCTTCCACATTTCTCAGATTTTGTTTCACTGCATTTAATTTATTATTTAGACTGTACATGATGCAATGTTTATATGATGATATTGATATAGAATCACAGAATATCCAGAGTTGAAAGGGATCCACAAGGATCATAAAGTTCAACTTCTGGCCTGCACAGTACAGTGCCAAAAGCCACACCATGTGCCCAAAAGTATTTTCCAAATGCTTCTTGAACTCTGTCAGGCTGGTGCTGTCACCACTTCTCTGCAGAGCTTTTTCCAGGGCAAAACTACCCTCAGGATGAAGAACCTTTTCCTAGTTCCCACCTAAACCTCCCCTGCCACAACTTCAGGCCGTTCCCTGGGTCCTGTCCCTGATCACCACAGAGAAGAGATCAGTGTCTTCCTTTCCTCTTCCTCTCAAAAGGAAGTTGTAGACCTCAATGAAGTCTCTACTCAGTTTCTTCTCCACACCAAGTAACTTCAGTCACTCCTCATATGGCTTTTCTTCTAGGCCCTTCACCATATATACATAATGTTACATATATATTTTAAAAAATCAAAACCAACATTTATATATATAGCATTATCTATACAAACTTTTAAAATGCAAAGTTTCAAATACGTCACTAAAAAATCACAAACTTTATCATTAAAGAATTTTCCACAATTTTAATTTTTTTTTTTCTGTTAAAATATACCCTAGGACACAGATATGTACAATTGTACTTTCAAACAAGAAAATAGTGCACTTTGATTTTACAGTGCTCAGTGTCTCACAACTAACTGCCTGCCATTGTATACTCTAATGCCCAAGTCATGTTCTATGCTAGTTTAGTCATTATGCTATGGAGTCATTCAAACTGCTTGACACCCTGCTTTAAAATATCCCGAGGTTTTAGCTGGTATTTGCCACTTATTTGCAATGGCATGATAATTATTAGTTTAGTAAGTGCCTATAGCAAATCTTGTTAAAAAAAGAATGTTTCACATCTTGATTTAATAACATCTTACAGGTTATTTTTTACTAGAATTTACAAGTTTAGCTGGACACCTCCAATCTTTAGACCATCTGCATGCAAAGAAAAATATGGAAAAAAGAGCTCTGTAACAACCCTAACACCTCTCATAATATATTTAAAAAACCCTACCAAACCCCAAAAAGCCTGAACCCCAAATTCCAAAGTTTTTTGCTTACCACAAATTTCTTTAAGCTTAGAGTTTTTAACTGGCATTGTGAGTTAATTCATCCGAGTCAGACTTTGATGTGTAACTAGATTTCTTCAAGCTAGAGATGAAGCAGCAATTGCTTACCTGACTCACACGCAAATGTCTTTGATGTCTCATCGTGAAAGATAATTGCCACTGCATGCTTCTTTGTCTCTCGAGGCAATCTGGTTATGTTTTTGATATTGTGCAGCTCAGTTACCTTAAAATGAAGAAAAGTATTTTAGAGCAGTGTATAAATAGTACAAATAAAAATATTAAGCTTAGCGTCTCAATTTCTACTATAAAGTGTTTTTCCTCTGTCCTAGTTTCAGCGAGGACAGGGTTAATTTTTCACAATAAGCAGGAAAGGTGTGTGGAAAGGCCCAGAAGTTATTCCACTCCACCTCACTCATTGCCAGGGGCAGGAGTAAGGAGCTCTTCTTCCAGCAGAGAAAGCATTGTGGGGAAGAGCCTGACACTGGCTTTCCCTGTTGCAGGCTTTTTCTATGTAAATTGTCTCTTTGTGCTGCTGTTACTGCTCATTTCTCTGTCTCATTGCTGTTTCTAGTAAATCATTCTTATCTCAACCCATGATTTTCAGCTTTTGTGCCTCCAGTTCTCAACTCCATTCCAAAGGAGTGGGAACGGGAGGGGAAGGGGGGAGCGAGTGAGCAGCAGTGTGGTTTTGAGTCTTAGTGGGAGACCTAAATTGAGGAGTACCATTCCTAAACCCCTAGGGTTATTTATAAGCTTGGTAATTGGTTAAAAAAACTCACATAAATAGGTAGAGTCTTAAGTTACAAAACTTAATTCTAATAACTCTATTTCTCTAATAAATTCCACAAAACTCTGTTTCTTTAATAAGTCCTACATGGAAATAGTTTACAATAACATCAACTCAGCCTTGGGATTTTGTATAATCTATTTTTCAATTCCTATACTCATGCAACTTGGATCAGTTTCAGAATCTGCATCAAATAGAAAACCTAATGTTGGAAGAACAGTGTTTCATTAATTAAGGAAGGTAACTCAACTAATATGTCAAATAGTATCACTACATTGTAAGGATAGATCCTCATGTGTCTTTAAAATGTATGTGTCACCCTCAAAAGAACTCAAACTTTCATTTTATTTCCTAAATATTAGAAAAGCTTATCAACAATAAAATACTCTTGCAGCAAATTTACAACATAAAAATTCAATCTATTTCCATTTTCTTTTGATGCATGTATATAACTACAATTAATAAAAATGGAAGAAAAATATGTTATTCCAACCAGACCTGGCAGCCTGCCTATATTAAACTGATTAACACCTTACATTCTGAAATGTTTTTCTCAGTTTCTTGGAACTCTGGGCAAACTTTATCTGTTTAGAGTTAGTTTTTCTCAGGCAGGACATTTGCCTCAGGCAGAATTAATTTCCAGAAAAATGTCAGCTATATGAGTTTGGACATCTATGACTACAGAAAAAAATTGACTGAATGTAGGTGGGGTTTTTTTGTTTGTTTTGCTTTGTAATTGTTATGCTCCTGGTGCACAGTTGCAGTATTCCTTTTCACATGCTGAAATAAATGTTTTTAAAGCAAAAGAGATTTTATACGGTGCAATAAAAAAATGGAACACATTGGGGCAAAGATATTTCAATAAAATATTGATAGCAGACAAGCAGTGAGATGCATCAAGCCAACAAAAGAAACTGAGACAAAGCATGAAGAGGAATGTGTTATGTGCTGACGAACTTGGGACCAGAACTGAAGACTGCTCTAGAGTCTGCCTGGACAGCCTTCAGCAAAACTCACTCCAGTTTGTCAATATCTTTGTTGTAACAGGTGGGCCAAAAATGAATGTGGCACTATAAATATGGCCTAATGTGTGCTGAACCGAGGAGAATAATCATTCTCTGTACTGACTAGCCATTCTTCTGTCCACCCAGCCCACGTAGCTTTGCTGCCTGAGACATCAAGATCCAGGGCCCTCCCTGCAGTCCTGCCCCCAGCTTGCCAATGCCAAACCTGTGCCATGCAGGGGCTCTTCTATCCCCAGGCTGGCACTTGTTTTTTGCCCTTAATCAGTTTAACAAAGTCCATGTCAGTCCAATTCATCCTGCCTGTTCAGGCTGCTGAAAAGGTGACTTGACTACCAAAAGCATATCGACTGATCCTTCCCAATTTGCTCTCTGCACATTGGCACAGCTCCCTTATTTCCTCCAGGTCCCTGATAGCAATATCAAGAAGGTCCCAGTGCAGACCACAGCAGTTCCACACTTGCTACAGCCCTCCAAACAGGTAAGCACATTAACCACATTAAAAACCAGCATAACCACATAATGACCAACCATTAACCATATAATAACCAAATCATTAATCACAACTTTCTGGGTCTGACTAGCTCTAGCTGACCATCTTTACATCATCTAGACATTTACCTGCATAGAGAATAATGTCTCAACTTCAATTTGAGAATCCCACAGGAGAAAATGTGAAAAACCCTGCTAAAGTTCTTCTCATAACATATCACAGCTGGTGATCATACTGGTCAGGCACAATTCACCCTTGGTAAATCCATGCTGCCTTTCCCAGATATTACATTTACTCCACAGTTCTTCCTATAGGCTGAAGTAAGACTGTCAGAAATTCTCCAGGTTGATCTTTGGTTGACTGCCAAAATTCTCTGTATTCTCCATGTCAACCTTTTGGCCTTCTTTTGGACACAGGTGCATTTGCCTCACCATTGGTTCCTAATCCCTTATAATTGTAACTGTTGTCATGCATTTTCAGGGCTTTGTAAGAATCCATATATTTCACTACTTTTTGTCTTGGGGGAAAGAGAAGGGCTGAATACCACAAATATCCCTGCCTCATTAAAGAATTTACTGAAATATCTGTTGATTTTCCTTGATCCATGCATGGTAAATGAACTAATGTGTGAGAGGGCTTTTATGACTCACCCAAAGCACTAATCTCAAGGAAATCCCTCAAAAGAGAGGTAAGAAAGCATTAGTAGGCAGAGGAGAGAGCAGACTCTAGAATTCAAAACCTGAGGGAACAATACCAAATCCATAAGTTATTACTGAATTTTGAAGACACTGAAGGCCCCAAAGTCAGAGAGAGGGCACAGATCTACTAGCCTTGCTAAACAAGAAGATATAAGAGCAAAATATTTAAGATTATTTGGGACACAAAAAAGTTCAGGTTATTATTATAGAAAATTTAAAAAATAGCTGGTGGTCCAATAGGGAAAACACTGATAGGAGGAAAAAGCTCCAGTGATTCTTACACAAGCAATTAATACACAAAGTGACATTTTTACGTGTGTGCATGTGTGAAACTGCACACCATGCCGATAAAAGTGCCTTAAATCTTGCTGTACCTAAAAGGGAAAATTTCTCTCTCTGGTATAGCAGAAAAGGAAATAGAATTGCTTTGAATAGTGACAATAAGGCTTATTAAGCCTTCTGCTAGTCTCTGTTATATAGCAGAGATCTACTTTTTTTCTTAGTACTTGAGTGTTACAGATTACTGAAAGACCCTGCAATGCTTATAAGAAAATACTGATAATAGAGCCAGAAATCTTACATTCCTGGCACTAAAGCAACAAAATTTTAATAGTAATTTATGTTTGAAACATAAATACAGACATACCTAAGTACACACACAGCTATATGTAAAGATAATTTTCTGAGTCATCTTCTGATCAGTACATTAGTTCTGCCTTGTTTAATATAGTCACATATGCAACATGCAGCACACACTTAAGAATATTGTCAGTAAAAAATGTACATACAACAGAATACTTTTTAGTTGCTGGTGGGAATTTAATGTCTGAAAGAGACAATGAAAACACTGCCAAATCTTATGTGCTGCTTTTTGGTACTCATATGAGAGATTAGGTTGAACAACAAGCTAGGCAAGTAAAGAAAAATAGTCTCCATGCAGGAAAAGAAGGTATTTGTTTTAAACACATTTTGATTTTCCTTTGTCTCTGAAATCACAGGACCTCCCTAGACAGCACAGAACTTCTTGTAACTGCAGTGTGAGAAAGTTACATTAATTGCCCCTTCCAAACTCCCTGACTTTTACCTTCTTTAACACAAACCTTTTAAGCCATTTGTAGTCTCATATAGAAATCATATCCCTCTTGTAAATCATATCCCTCTTGCCTTTCCATAAAAAATGGACCTATTTGAAACTGCTATGAGATATTGTGAGACATCCTTGTCAAATACTTTACTGGTTTAACATACGTGGCAAAAGCATTTCTGCCAGTTAAGATTTTTTTCCAAAATGATATCTTTCTTATTGGAATGCTTTGCTTTACAAGAACTGAAGGAAATAATTTTAGCTAAAATATTTTGAGGACATAGGAAATTTATAAAGATTTTAGTAATTATAATTTTTCTGGGCAAGCTAACAGAAAAAGAAATGAGAACACTTCAGGAACACAAATCTACACTAACAACTAGAAAGGCCATATTATCAAATAAGCCACTCAGTATTTCTATTGCTTATATAATTTTCAATATCAAATAAACATGAATAGTTCCTTCAATGTTCATCTTTTCAAATTGTACTGTATGCTTCCCTCCACAATCAGAGTGGAAAGATAGAGGCAAAACTGTGAAAGTCTATCCTCCCATTGATAGAGAATTAAGTTAATGAAATTCTGAATTCTGGATTTAATGCCAATTAAGCATGAGTCGTTTCTCTACTTGCTGAATGTGTGCAATTAAAAAAACACCTGAGAGTATATTATCCTGTATGAAGGAAAAGATGAGCTTTGCCTGGCAACCAGATTGCTTTATCTCAGGGATTTTTAAAAGTGTGGCTTAAATTCTATGTATTATTTTTTTAAAAAACTCAAAAATAAATAAGCATTTTTAAAAGGGGAAAAGTATCAAAGCTACTGAAAAGACAAAAAGAGAACTTATAAAAATACTACTTTGAAATTATTTAAAACATCGCAGATTTTAAGAAGGTTTTAAAAGTCGAATAAAATTTTTAAAAAGTACAAAAAAATACCCTTTTTATGAGTAAATTAGGTAAATCTATTAGGTAAATCATTAGGTAAATATACTTTATTAAGCAAGGAACATTATACCAAAATTTGCTCCCTGTGGTATTATAATGGACTTATTGACAAAATTCAGTCTAATACATTGAAAATATATTTTCTCTTCACAACAACCAAATATCATTCTGAAACTACCTAGACCACTGAT